CCTTTGGCCACCAGATACGCTTCAAGGAGAAGCAGCCAGATGCCAAGATGATCATGGACAAGCCAGGTGTCTACTTCTTAGTACTTTCCAATTGTGGGAACTTCGATACGGCCACTGTCAGTGGGGAGGTCATCGTAAAGAATTCCCACGGCTACTTGCCGGCCAATGAGTACGGCAAGATGCCCTTCTATGCGATTATGACGGCCTGTACAGTGGTGGTTTTCCTTCTTTGGGCCCTATTATGTGTCAGATGGTGGAAGGTGCTCTTCAACATCCACCTCATAATAGGGGCTTTGGCCCTTCTGAGTATTCTAGAAAGCATTGGCTGGTTTATCCATCTCTTCACCTGGAATGAATCAGGAGTTGACAACAAAGCCATCTTTTTCATCGCCATTTTCCTGTCAGTCTCAAGGAGCACGCTCTCATATATGCTGGTATTATCAGCCTGCTTGGGATGGGGAGTTACAAAGCCTGTTCTCGATGGTGGAACGATTTGCAGAATGGTATCACTGTCGCTGGTGTATATTGCCCTGAATGTGGTTCGAGAAGTTGTGCTGGCTGACAGGCACCAGCAAACTGTGCCAGTTGCTTTTGTCATCCTTTGCCTTTTGCCCGTGTCCCTCGGCACATTGAAACGTCTTTGGTGGGCCAATCGATCATCATTCGGGACGCTGTTTGTTTAAAGCTCAAACCAAGGTGACTTATCATGTGGAAGTTAAGTTTACCTAAAATTCTAGGAACCAAATGAATAGAAGCGTGAGCTATCCTGCCTCCAGGGGAGGGGGGAGCGGGCTGAAACAAAGAAAGAACAAGAGGAGACCCTGAAACTAGCTTTGATTGGTGCATATTTGTGCCGCCGCGTTGGACCTGATTCGACCAACAGCAAGGGTCTTTAGACCAAGACGAACGAGACTCAGGGAGCGAGGCGTCGAACATTCAGGGGATCCAATTAGAAGATGGGTTCACTATCGGATCCAATTCAATTGTGACACCTTTTGGGGAATGAACCATTGATGAAACCCAAAGGAACATCTTGGACCTGGGTGGGTCGCGGGGTCGCGGGGCCGTCAAGAGACGGCAAAAATCGTTGAGGCTTTTAGGGTTTTCATCCGCTGATACTCCCGTTCCCTTGCTTCACCGGATCACCGGATCCTTTGCCCAAGCGGAGGTCTCTGATGAATGGAGGGATTTTCTATTGGATCTTTGCCGCCTTATCAAACCTCATGGAGACCCTTGAAGCGCAGGGCCAGACTGCGAAACTGAGCCTTTTCCAACAGCTCTGGTGGCTCCTAAGCTGCATGAGGGGTGAAGCGACACAGGTCCGATCCGGCTGAACATGGGGCAGCAACAGCCAATATAGCCAATGGGGACCGACAAGAAGACGCCCTTTCTTCACGGTTGGCATGTCTAAAATAGAAAGCGACCCCAAGGCACCCAGGTGTTTGAAGGGAAGATCGTTTTGTATGTTTTGTTGCCAGACTTGGCGAGATTCATTCCAGAAAGTACGTTTTATGATGTTTTATGCACCGGTCACATGTGAGATATTGCTCATGCACAGTGCTCGAAGAAAAGCGGAGCTTGCGAAATCGCCACACCCCTCGGCTGAGGGTGCTTGTCTCTGGCATTGTCTTCGCCTTTGCCGTCCTCTTGGCACAGATTTTCATCGTCGCGAATGACACGTCCAGTTGGCAGTATCAATGGCTGGTGCAGGATTGCGCGCCACAGACAGGATTTCTGCATCTTGGCTGACATCAGTTGTGCTTAGCAAGGACTCTACTAGTAGCGTATTTGCAGCCGTGCCGTGATACCGTTTCATCAGTTCGAGTGTGGGGTCTCCCGACATTTTCGTTTGGTGTCCGTGCGAGGTTTCCATGTGTTGTGTGCCGACAGGTGGTTGAATCACTAACTTGTTCCAAACAAGCCTCCAACCTAGAAGTGTCTTTGCTCCTAGTAGCGACGCCCTTTGTTCCTAGTATATAGTTTCTTGCTCCTAGTAGTAAGACCAGGAGCCCCTAGTAGCGTCCTTGCTAACCACAACTGTGGTTTTGCTTCTGCAACGATTCACCCATCCTTACACAGGAATAGATGCAAGATCACACAAGTTTGTTTTCGCGTTGTCGTTGTCGTGGTTGGCGTCGTGGTCGTCGTTGTCCTTCTTGTCGTTGTTGTCTTTGTTGTTGTTGCTGCTGCTGCTGCTGCTGCTGCTACTATCGCTATTGCTAGTGACTAGTGTTGTCGTCGCTACCAGCTGCTCTCCGCTCTCACCTCACGCTGCTGACAGCTGGCTGCCACTGGCTGCACATAAGAGGGTTGGAGTTTTGAGTTTGGGCCTGACTATGGGAAGCCGTCGCTGTTAGGTTGGAGGCCATCGCTCTTAGGTTGGAGGCCATCGCTCTTAGG